AAACTCTAGTCTTCATGTCACCATAGATTCGTATGTCCTTAAGCATATCATATGGAATACCCTGTTATCATTGGAGACAGACTCATGAGAAAATATAGGCCATAAACCATGACTTTTAACACATATTTCATAGGAAAATAGAGACCATGAATTGCAGCTTTACCATATACATGGTCGAAAGTAAAAGAAAGCAACCAAACATGGTGTTTTGGTGAAACAAGCCGAACCTTCCATGTTAGATGCATATCTACATGTCTACCATCATGCAATAAGCAATGTGGGTACCCACAATAGGTGTCAAATGGCCATGGCTTCCTTCAACTGTCATTATGAGTTTGATTTGGTGCAAGAACGATTGCTATGATTGAAGTACTGTGTCGGGGCTTCAACAAATAGATTTATTTGAGATTAAATGTGGCAAACTTGTAATTCGTATGCTTGTTTTATAACAAGAAAATTAAAGATATATAGAAAATCATATCATGTTATCTTATTTAGCGGCTTATTTATTAAGGTCCCGAGGCTATCCTATGCCCCCCGATCTATTCGTTTTGATGTAGCAAAAAGTTTACTAGTTTTAACGATTCATCATTTGTCATTTGATGTGTGTTTTTGTTAGTTACAGAAAACGACTTTGATGTTGCCAAAAATCAATTGTTTGTCAAGAAACTGTATTTATGTTTATTTCATATCGTCTTAATTATATTGTGCCCCATTTGAAAATTTTTTGGATCTATATCTAATCTTATTTGATATCGTATTTTACTATACTCGAATATCATTTTATTATTTGACAGCAATCTATACTATATTATAGAACATTTGGATAAAACTCTTCAAAACTATTTTTAATGCATCAAGTACTGTTTAATAATGCATATTACTTAAAATTCAAGGTTACAAATAATGGTGTAAGAGTACAACTTTTTGAAGTTACATGTTTGAATTCATATAACTTATTGATAAACATAAGCAAATACAAAATAAACATATCACTTTAAATAGAAAAAATCTGAAATATAATTAAGATAATCATTAGGTTCTAACAGAATACTTAATTATTATCTTTATAAAAAAAATTATATCATTAAACCTACAATAAATTAATTCGTTAATTAAAAGATTGAACTACAAATCCATGTTTATAAAAAAAATTATTATATTATTAAACTTAAAATAAATTACTTCGTTATTAAACCTAAATTAAGTTATACTAAAAAAAATTATACAAAAAAACTAAAACTTTTAAATTGTTACTTTGATACTAATACTGTAATACTGATAGAACTTTTTTCGAGTCTTTAAAATGTTTTATTCAAATATAAAAAATATTATTATTTTCTCAAAACTATATTATAAAATGAAATATTAAAACTAAGATGCATCTTGTTACATTGTATGAGTATACAACTAAGTATAACAAAAATCTACAATAACCTTTTTTAGATATATTTTATAATGTACAACTTTTTATTGCATAAATTACAAGTTATAATAAAGATGCTTTGTTGGCATAATGATGGCAAATTGTGACCACAATAGGTGGATTTGCACCACTATTTGGTGCAAGGTGATGGTTCCCATGGCCTAAAATCTAAATAGACCTTAAGAATATGACTATTCCAAGTTGTAAAAGACAAAAGCCATCAAGAATGGTCCTACATTTTGACTATTCCATTCATCACGTGGCCTTGCACGTGCGGACCAACACCCACACATTAAATGTAAGCCATAAAAAACCCCCTAAATCTCAGGGTCCCCAAGAATAACTAGAAAATTCTTCGATAGTTTTGTAAAACTTGAATCAGTGATTTATGAAAAGAATCCTTAATGACCCAAGTCTTGTTGTTGGTTGAGTTAATCACACAAGATAGACAGTAAAAATGATACTGGATTGTTAGGTGTATCGTTTTGTTAATATAACACTTTATATTGTTAAAGTGTTTTTAAAAACCTGGTAAAATATTAAAAAATGTTTTATAAGCTTATTGCAACACTTTTGCATAAGGCGTACAATTGTTTGATTCTAGAAACTCAAGTCTTATAAAACAAACTATTAAGACACTTAATGGTTGTTAACTTGCAACTTAATGAGTTTGATGGTCTTTGTAGTGTACTCGCTGACACGGGTTTTTCTTGGGCCGGTATGTCTATATGGAGTAAGTTAAGATCCCTCACTTCTCCCGGTTAAACTACCTCAAAGAATCCAACATTCTTTATTTGCCTCCCTCAAACAACAACACATTTTTATTCACACGGACAGATTTATCAAACAAACAATTTAACTCGTACGAGACCAATGGGCCGCTTCTCAAACATTTAAGATTCTATATAATCCATTAAAACGATATTATATACAACAGTTTATCAGATAAGTACTAATTGGATAAAAGTCATCATCATCACTTACTGGGTAAGTGTTTATTAAACAAGCCTTAGGGGCTGTTTACAAAAAAAAATTATTAAGTCCTGTATGGATAAATTTATCTGTCCGAATAAATTTGTTTGTCTGGATAAATGAGTGTTTTTGTTTACTTTTTTTTACCTGAACTAACAGTCTGAATAACATAAATGACCGATTTATCCCCCAATATTAATTATTTGAACATCAAAACAACAAATTATAAAGAGGCCGACGATGGGGTGTCTCATAGGGAAGAATGCGGTGCTTTAAATAAGGGGTAAGAGTGTCATTTTTGTGGCTGAATGGGGACAACACACCATTTCTATATGTGCATTAAGTCATGTTCTGTGCGAATAAGCCATAAGTAAACAACCCAAATGAGTTGTGCGAATAAGCCAGATAGACCAATAAGCATAATTAAGCCGCAAGTAAACAGCCCCTTAATGAGAAAAAGTAAACAACCTCCTAAACATTTTTTATATCCGATAGACCTAATTTTGCTATTGTTTCTCCTAAGTTTGTTTTACAAGTAGCGAATATAAATTTAAAAGATCATCGTACAAAGAAAGCATTTAAAGAAAATTATAACTAAATTGGATAAGTTCTCATGCTTTATACTTTATTCATGATTGTTTATAAAATTAAAGTGCCACTATAATAAGTCATCATCTTTCTTTTCAGACGTCGATTTTTTGAAGTAAGTTCTACTGTCTAAAATCCTGTCAGAAGAATATTACACTTTTATAAATACGTTTTAACTTGATATAATTCTTTTTATATAGTTTTGTGTATGATTGAATAAGCACATAGTGACATTTAACTTTGATAAAGAACGAAGATATATCTTAATCAGCCCGCATCAGCAGAAAAGGAAACGATCGAATCATGAATGACCGATCAGTGAGTTTGTAGGACCGTGACCAATTTAAGAGATAAGCTAGCTTTCCTTTGAAGTTAATAATTTTTATATAATATAATTATATATATATTTTTTAATACCTGATAATTATTTCACTTTTGATTGTATAAATTAGCAAATATTTATACTTTATTATTACCTGATAATATATATATTTTTTTATCTATCTATCTATCTATACTACCTTATAAACTAAATTTATTAAAAGTCTTAAAAACAATTTTTAATGTACAAAGTACTATACATTTATACATAAAGTCTTAAAAGTCTTAAAAACAACTCATAATGTATTAAGTACTACTACTTTATGCATTCAGTCTTAAAATCTCTTAATCTACAATTTAAATAACATATGATACAAATTACCAATGCACATTATTACATTTTCTTTTCATGTTTCTAAGATACTTTTAACATCTGTCACTTATGTCTTCACCCTCTCATACCTCTATGTCTTCTCCCCATCCCCCACGGTGAGATTCAAACTGATATTCACCATGAGTTGTTAAAAGTTCTTCCGTTTATCTCTCATTCAATTGCTCTAGAACTTTCGGTCTCGGTCTCGCTCTCTTGATTCTTTGTTCTTGGTGTAAATCGAACATATTTGTGGAGTCGTTTAAATATGTTGGATTTTATATTGTCATACAATTTTTTTCACCGATAAACTGTAATTGGAACCATAACTCTTATTTATTCAAATTGTATTAATATGTAAAGACCAAATGTAACTTATATCATCGTTAAATCTTCTATAATAAAATCATTGAAACTTCAAACGTTAAAGTTCATGGCTCCCGCCGTATTGCGCGGGTACACAACTAGTTTGATACTTATTTTCAATTTGTTAACGGGATTTTCAATATGTGTATAAACACATGTAGGATATTTATAACTTATTATTGTATAAATACAAATTTCAAACTCCACACTTGCAATCATAATCAATCCATGACCAACAGATAATCACGTTCAAATACATGATAAATATTGAATACTACCACTACAACAACATATTCAATAAATCTGATAACCAACACGAGACTCTCTTGCTCTCTCAAAACGACACAAAACCACAAAAATTTAAGAAGATATAATGCGACAAAACACGAATCAAGAATAAAAATTCGAATTTTCAACTTCAAAATCAAAATACATTACGTAAGTTAACTTCTAGTATATATATATATATATATATATATATATATATATATATATATAGACACGTAAATATACACATGTATGTTTAAAAACTCGTTTTTTTCATTCTGTTTTCATTCATCGTGTAATTTTTAAAATGATAAAAGGATAGAATGTAGAAAAATAACAAGAATCCAAAACACCCTTTGCCACCCACAACACACAACAAAAACTCATGGATTTCAAACCACACTAACAAGAGAAAATATACATCCATTTTGGTTAGTTTCTACCCTACTCAACACTCAAACCTCATCCTACCTTGTTCCACTTCTATTGGAGCATTTCAATTTCTCCATTATACCATTTCTCACTATTCCCATTTCCCCATGCAAACTTGTACATCATGCATCAACTACTTGTACCTTTTGTCACATATCTTCAACACAAAGATTACTATAAAAGGCAAGCTATACTCATACTTGTCTACTATACCACCACCATCCCAAATCATTCCTTCCCTTTTTGAAGCTTTTCATTCACTCCTCTCCAACTCAAGATCTTTCATCTTTTGTCATGAATAAGTTGAGATAACCACTTGTAGACAGTTCGAATTTGTGGGTACAAGCTTTTCTCGATCTTGTTTGTGTGCGAAATTTGTTATTTTACTTCAAGAATGTCGAACAGAATCCTACCTCCATCCCAACCGCTCAAGAAACCAACCCACTGTAGGAATGGCTCGGACGAGCTTGATGTGTTTGAAGCCGCCCGTTATTTCTCGGGTGCCACTGAAGTTTTGAGTGGCGCCCATAAAAGTGTTGTTAGCGGCGAATCAAGGAATTTTGGTAACGCTGCTACACAGAAGTATTGCATGAGGCCAATTGGAAGAATGAGTCTTGATATGCCAAACCATAGAGGGAATTCTATTCCTTTACAAGCCATGTTGATGGATCCCATGATGCCCAGCAGCAAAGAGAAGAAGTCCAAGCAACCAAGCTCACCAGGAGGGAAGTTGGCTCATTTCTTGAATTCTCTTTTCAACCAAACATCTTCAAAGAAGTCAAAGTCAAAGTCAACAAAGGATGAAGATGAGAGTAGTCCTGGTGGCTGGAGGAGGAAGAGAAGGAGTAGCATCAGTCATTTCAGAAGTGGAAGCAGCAGCAGCACCACCACCACCACCACCACCACCACCGGCTCCGCCACCATTATGAGTGATTCAAAATCTCCTTTTTCAACCTCAACGAGCTCAGGGTTTAGAACACCACCTCCTTATCACATAGCAGTACCACATACACCCACAAAGACTGCAAGCTATAGAGACCCCAGAAGCTACTCAGATCTCAAGACTCCTGCAAGTCAAATTACGAAAATACCCATCAATGAAAACCTCAACAAGATTGAAACTTTCAATATCAAGACCGACTTTTCTGGGAGAAAGATGAGTTTTGGAAATGCGTTTGTGGAGAAAGTAAAGGGCTTTGATGAAAAACAAGATGAACGACGTCGTCATCCTCATAAGTATGTTTCAAGAGATGATATCAAAGAGTTCAAGAGGTTTATTGACGATGAAGATGAGGGAAATGAGAGTGATTCAAGCTCTGATCTTTTTGAGTTAACAAATTGTGATTTGGGTTATTATTCAAGTGGTTTGCCTGTTTATGAAACCACCCATATGGATAGCATCAAGAGAGGTGCACCAATCTCGAACTAAGTGTGTGATCTCAGGTTCAAATCTCTTGCGATAAGATCCTTTGTTTCGCAATCGAACACCTTGTGAATCATTCGTATCATATATTTAGATGTAGAGCTAGCTTTTTTTTTTTTTATGTTCATTTTCATGTAGAGTTTTTTAATGTTCATCTTTTTAATTAACGATTTAATTACTCCTGTTTCTAGTAATTTATTCATCATAAGTTGTTTCTTTGGACTGAGTTTCGATGAAAAGAAGAGTTCAAGTAATAAATGTAAGAAAGGTGGGTTAGAAAATTAAAGGTGATCAAATGTCTATATCTCTTTTTACACTTTATCACTTTAACTCTCCTTTTCACATGATCTTTTGTCTGTTTGTTTTAGGGTATGTATATTATAGAGAGAGGGGATTGAGATCATGTGAGATCGGTATGTTTTTTTATGAGAGCCATAAGACTATAAAATAACATTAAACTTTTACGGCAAAACATTGTGAAAGGTAAAAAACTTTCACGACATTGTGAAGGTCTACTTTTTTACCATCACAACGCTTTTGCAATGAAGTACATATTTTTTGTACCTTTATAGTTGTTTCGTGGATCTCATGAAAATAGGATTGATTTCACTACGGGAACCCATCCCTTTAAGGTTTACAAACTATAAGATGGTTTACATGCTATAATAATGAAAACCGCAATATCTAAACCATAAGAATGCAAATTGCAATTTTTAATAAACCATAGAGACAATAAACTTAATTTACTCTTTAAGATAATGAATTTATAGAATATTTTAATCGTTATAATTAATGCTGAAATTTATAAAATATAATAACTTTTAGATTTAATATAATGTAATTCTACAGATTTTACTTTTAATAAAGAAAACTTAAAAACATTTGCCAAATATAGGATTAAAACTGTTATATATTTGAACAAAATTAGTTTCGCCCATTTATCAACTAAGCTAAATGCCCAACAACTATAAACATGAAACATAATTATTATACTTCTAAAATATAAAACTCAAAATGAAAAGCTAGCTGATGTTGAATAGCTCCAACAACTATACTATATTTTTTTTTAGAATAAAGTATCAAAAGTCAATATCTAAAAAAATTAATTCAACTACAATAAAACAACTACTTTATTTTAGTAACATTAATTATATTATCAAAATATTATTTATCTCTTCTAACCTTTATTTTTAATACATCTTAATGGTAGAAAAAAAATTAAAATACTATTTCCCACTCCTAAATACAAGAATTTCTATAAATTTAGATATTTTTATAATCTCTCTTATTTTTTATTTTATTTTACCATATAATATAACACAACTATTAGAATTTTTGGATCCTCAAAATTCTATGATAATATAACTACTGTTAGATATTCTTATATTTCATCATTGAATATTTTTTTAATTACGATTTGTAGGTAATTTCGAAGGATATATAACATGGTATGTTTTGTTTATTTTTATCATGATTTGTAATTCCTAAATTTTTAATTAAAGAGTGTACTAAGAAAAATAACTTAATTATTTGACTTCGATATCAAAAAGGAACAATTATCTCCCCACGTGAATTCCCATCATTTTGATCTCGACTTTATCAAAATAGAATAATCAAATTCCTAGCTTTTTTTATGTTACCATTTTCAACTAATTATTATTATTATTATTATTATTATTATTATTATTATTATTATTATATATACTATCTTATTAAGCAAATTTAATAAAAGTCTTAAAATATTAAATGACCAAGATACTTTTTATATTTCTTTTTCACTTTTTCACCTCTTCCTCTCCTCACATACACTCACCTTCTCACAACCAATTTTTTTAATTATAATTTTAAATTTATATTTTATATCTCTATAATTAGTTAATTAATTTACTTTACGTCCTTTACTTTTAAATGTTTCATTTTAAACCTTTATTAAATTAACATACATAATTTTATATCAATTAAAACATGTTTAAAAAATACATTTTTATTTTAACAAGTTACACCATTATAATTATCTCGTTAATACCTTCGAAATGAGTCTAATATTGAATAGTTTTTATTTAATTATATTATTATATATTATATATAATGTGAAAAAATATTTTTAATATTTACGATTTATACTTTTATAGTTATTTATTTATATATATATTATATATTTTGGGGTTAGTTTGTCCAAATTGCACTGTATAATATGTTTTGAATTAATATGTTCTTGGTTTTTTTTTAAATATATATATATATATATACATATATTAATTCAACCTTAATCTGAGTTTCTAGACAATAAAGAGAGTAAGCAGTTGAAATTTCATTCTAAAACTCATTCTTTTTTGTTCTTTTATGGCTTATGATCTGTCAAATTTGTAGTTTTATTTATTGGTTTTGAGTGTTTATCTTAAAACTCAAGTTTCTTGGTTCTTTGCTCTTGGTGTAAATCGAACA